GGGGGGGGGGGGGGTGAGCTCTAAATATTAAAAATATTTGTACTTCGCTTATTCCGATTTTATTATTTTGGGACATTATTATTATGATCAAATAAGAAAATATTTAGAGACGAGTATGATTCTATCATTTAATTGTTTTTAATTAGTTGTAGTAAGATATCAAAATAAATAAAAGAGAAAATAGTAATTAAAAAAATATGACGTGACAAAGTTTATGGGGAAGAGAAGGTCTGAGAAGAGGATGCAGTGAAGAAAAGTTAGGGGTAAGACTGTAAATTGAGGGAGAGATGGATAGATATGGATGTGATCCAGTTACCTTTTTAGCTAAAGGAATACCTATTAGCTACATCAGCGTAGTACATTCATTTTTTACTTTTTAGCACCTTCACTTTCTCTTTCACGTTAAGCTTCCTTTTCTCCCGCCCTTCATCGCAATTTCTCAAAATTCATACCCTCAGCTTATGATCTATTCAACATTCCGTTTATCCAATTCGAAATAGTAAAAAATCCATTTGATTTTATTGAATTTTCTATAGCTATTATTTCAAGAAACCACAACTGTAAATCCAAGAAAACTTCAAAAGTAGACGCTTCACAGAGAGCAGAGCCTTTTGTTGAGTAAATCTTGGAGGAAATTAATATAAAGAATGAAACTTTAATCTCAAATCAGCGCCCTCTTTATCCCTTTTTGTGCTATCTTTCCCCCCTCTATTCATACTCTTGTCTGTATTAGTAATATCAGGGTTTAGCTTTCAAATTTCCCTTATGAGTGTTCATGCTATGATCTTTTACATTTTCTGTTTGTAACTTTTGCTTTTCAATTGTTACATGTAATTAATTATATGTCAAATTTCAAGACTCAAGTGTGTGAAGCCAGCGTTGTACACAACTTTATTTAAAGGTGTTCTTAAGGCTGGAAAAGAATAATGTAAGTTAGTACTTTTTTCTTATATCCATTTTTTCATCTCTTTCTCTATTTGTAGTAGTCCACGAAAAATTGATGCCATTTTTTAGTTTTCTTTTAGGGAGGGGTTGGTTCATGTGACCTCTATGCATATGTTTGACAAAATACCTTTCTCATAGTTGTAGTGATAACAACATCACATGTCAGTTTTTCCTTTATTGCAACAAGTTTATTGAAATTCTGGAACTATAACTTTTTTTTATAAGCTCTGTAACTATAATATTCAACTTGTTGCTTGGTTTGTGCTGAGTTATGGTTATTTTCCTCAGGGGTACTGTTAAACTGCAACTGCCGTTGCCTAAAAATGTTAATGGAATGACCCTGGATCCAAACCATGATTGTAGCTTTGATGCTTTACTGGTCGAGCTCAACTCGATAGAGAAGAAGCTCAATGGATCATCGAAATTTCCATTACCTTTTACTAAAGCAGAATCTCAGTATGTTATTTTAACAAGGTTTCTTAGTGAAAATCACATCAAGCATTTTAGTTCCATTTGGATAGTAAATTTTCTGTGTTATTGTCTAATCTGTCTTTACTTAGAGAATTCTCGACTTCAAAGAATAATACTTGGAGAGGCTTTATTATGCAAGTGTCTGATGACGACGTGGAGGATGTGGAAAGAAACAATAAGGATGAAGTTGGTGATCATTTTGTTCTGGGGAGAAAACGTTTTGCCTGTGACGAAATCTATCTGAGGTGAGTACTCAACAATTGCAAACATTATAGAGTGTAAGAATGAGAGGAGGTCTATTAGAACAGAGAAACAAGCTATGAAATATGTTGCTACAAATGCCCTTCCCCATGTTAAATATCTCATAATTGCTTGGCTCTATAATTGTTTAAGGCATTACATGTTTATAGCATTTACTTATTGAGCCAAGAGTCTTAGCCAACTAAGGAGGATAGGTGTATGTGTGGCTAGGATGGGGTGGGTTGGGGGGAGGGGTTGCTTAAGCACTTAATATTACCTCATAGTTTGTTTTCCAGATGCGTCATGAAGTTATTCCTATTAACTTCCGTTTTATTAATAATAAACTTTCGTTTCATTCTTGATTAATACTTAGTGCAATATTTCTCATGTTGTTTCAGTGATAGCGACCATTCTGAAGAAGGCATGGGCATTGAACTTCAACGTGATCTAATGGATAAAGTGGGATTAGTGAAAAGTGCTTTATCTGAATTAGCTCATGAGCACCAGCTTACTATTGCGGTTTGTAACTTCACTTATATGCTTCCTTAACTTTCTCTGACCATGTCCCCACCTTTCTTCACTTAGAAAAAGAAAGAAGGGATGAATATATTAAACCGAATCTCTTTCTCTTATTACCTTACAACAGGAGGAAATGAGAGATCAACTATCAGCAATTGAAGCTGAGTTAATGGATGAAAATCAGAAGCTTGCCTCCACACTTGAACGGGTTGAGAGAAATACTGAAGCTCAAAGGGAAATGAACAGAAAATTTGACATGCAGTACCAGCGTAAAATGTCAGGCGTATTACTCTGGTTTTGTGAAAAAAAAAACTTATTTTTGCATTAAGTTAGTCATCTAGTTAATAGTTTTTTCTTTGTTCAATGATGTATAACAAGGTAGATGTTCTTCAGTGGGTTTTGGTCCAATGGTGGTCTGCTGGAACTGATGAAAACATTATCTATTTAGTTGCTAAAGACCAGGATATTTGTTTTATCCGTACTGTGAACTTCACTTCAACTGTTGTTGCTGCTGCTGCTACTCTAGGACCAATGAAAATAATATATTTGCCAAAGACATGCCAATCAAATCTAAATTACTTAAATGAGAGCTGGTTTGTGAGGAATTTACTTACAAAAAAACTCACTAAGGATGTTAGATTGACATCATAAACCACTAATGTTGTTTAGGTTGGGAATGAAAGTGAATAGGGTGATTTGTTCATCATTTCTTGTTGACATGAATTACAGATGAAGGTGTAAGACAGATTCAGGGGTATGGGCAGCGAGCCGAGTTACTGTATAGAAGGGACACCAACAGGAAGTCATGTCACTTTGATTGCAAGTGATTATTTTCTGATTCAAACAACATGCATGCCCTTGGTCTCTATAAAAAAAACTTTGCGATTAATAAATATTAAATTTTTGTTAATGTTTCTTGTTCACTCTATACATGCTCGGAGTACCCAGAATTTGAAGTTTAATCACCATTTGCATGTTCCTACAGTTTAATTTTAGTAAAAATATACTTTTGACTTCAATTGTATTACTGTAGTGCAGAAGCACTTGATGATCACCTAACTGCTGTGCAAAGGGATCACGAACACAGATCCCAAATTGAAGAAAGGAGAATAAGAGATGATGCAGCTCGTGAAGAAGCCAAGAGGAAAGAAAAAACTCTTCAAGAAGAAAAAGCCCGGCAAGAAATGATCAGAGCAGAAGCCAAGGTATGTGTTTTACTCCTATCGAGAGAGAGACACAATTTGATATGCTTATTGGAAATTCTCTCATATGCTTAGTAGAAGAGTTTCTTCAAGGAAAAAAAAAGTTTAGAAAGCTATATTTATCCAATTGCATTTCTGGTCGCCCGCTGTTTTGTGATTTTTATAGATTTTACAAAGTTAGCTATTTGTGAGAATCATCATCAAACGAGTAAGTAATTGTGCTTGTGTTATTTTTTTTTTGAGAAGGTAATATTTGTTGCATATATATTAACTGTATCAAAACATGTAAGTTAACCATAATTACAAAGGGTGGTACAAGAAGATTATCTAGTCCTTACAAGGATCCTAAAACATCAACAAAAGATTCTGGATCTTCCATGTACTCTTGCTTACACCAAAAATAAAAAAGAGCGAAACAATGCATTTTCATTCTCTGGATAGTACTATGTCTATCTTTAAAACATCTTAGGTTTCTCTCTTTCCAAACAGTCCACTAAACGCAAGTTGGGACAATCTTCCATCTCTTATTCTGATTAGGGGAGCTACTAAGTCTGTTCCAGCATTCTAGAAGTTCAATAACACTCCTTGGCATTACCCACATGATTCCTTTCAAGTTAATGAAAATCCTCCAACTTTGTTCTGTTATCCTGCAGTGCAAAAAAAGATGGTTGATTTTCTCTGCCTCTTCTCCACATAAGTAGCATCTGGAGCATATGTGGAGGCCCCTCTTGATAAGATTATCCAGAGTTAAGATCGTTTTTCTGGCTAGCAGCCACGTGAAGCAAGCAACTTTGTATGGAATTTCGACTTTCCAAATTAGTTTCCAAGGCCTACTTCCAATCTGATTATTAAAGGTGTTGTATTCCTTGTAGGCAGACTTGACTGAGAATTTATCTTGCTTATCCCTTTGTCAGAACATACAATATTCAGGAGTGAATATCTCTTTGAATTGATCCAAGGTGTTGTAGAATTCTGTTAGCCTGACGATCTCCTAGTCATTGAATAATCTTCTATACCTAAGGTTCCATCTTTGGTTTGGCCATACATCTCCCACAGTTGCTCCTTGCTCCTGGTTCAAGCTATAAATGTCTAGGAAAGTCTATTTCAAAGGACATTGGCCTAGCCAGGTGTCATCCCAGAAAGAAGTTTTCATTCCATTGCCCACCTTGAATCTAGATTTATTTTTGAACTTTGGCCACAAGTTCCTGATTGATCTCCATAGACTGACACCATAAGGACTGGTTGTAGAGTTGGTAGTCTAATTACTTTCCATTCCATACTTCACTCTAATGACATCTTTCCATAGTGAGCGTTCACTCGAAGTAAATATCCAGAGCTATTTCATCATTAGGCCGTGGTTCTGAATTCTTAGGTTCCTAATGCCCAGCCCCCCTTAGAACTAATCTGCCCCTTAGGGAAAAAAGATATTGGCTTTTCCGGTTAATTAATTTCTTTTCACATTCTCTAGTACACCATTCCAAATTTCTTTTGACTTACTCTTTGCTCCCAGAGGCATTCCAAGATACACTGAAGGAAGTTCTTCAATTCTCCCTCCCAGAATGTTAGCTAAGTATTGGATATCAGGGACCTCATTGATTGGATATAGATGACTCTTGCTCCAATTAATATGCAACCCAGATATGGCTTCAAATAGAATAAATATCACCCTCAGAATTCTCAGTTGATCTCTATCAGCTTCACAAAAAACTAGTGTCATCGGCATACTGAAGGTGTGTGATTTCTAGATTATTGATAGCCCTAGTAGATACATTGAATCTCTTGATCCAGGTGTTACCCTGAGCAGTTTTCAACATGTCCTTCCATAGCAATGATAAACAAGAAGGGGATAAGGGATCACCTTGTCCCGGTCCTCCCTAGGATGAGAAGAAGCTAGCTGGGGAGACATTGATAAGGATGGAGAATTTGATAGTGCTTATGCATAATTTGATCCAGGAGATCCATCTGCCTCCAAACCCCATTTTCTCCAAAATTCCAAGCAGATAACTTCAGTTCAAATGATTAAAAGCCTTCTGAATGTCCAACTTACATAGGATGCCTAGGAGTTTCCTTTTGATCCTTGTGTCTACACATTCATTTGCTATAAGTATGGCATCCATTATCTGTCTCCCTTTGATAAAGACCATTTGTTGAGCATCCACCAATTTACGTACCACCAACTTAGATATGATTTTGTAGATGCTACCTGTTAGGCTGATGGGTCTAAAGTCTTTTTATTCCTTGGCACCCCACCTTCTTAGGAAACAAAGCCACATAGGTGGCATTGAAGCTTTTTTCAAAAACACCTCTATCATAACATCAGCATTGACTACCTCCCAAAAGTGAGTGAAGAAGGACATGGTATAGCCATCAGGGCCAGGAGCTTTATCCCAGCACATGCTTGAACACTGCTCCATACCTCTTGGGCTTCAAACGGACTCTGTAGTATCTGGTTTTCTTCTGGAGTGATCATAGGACAAACTCTGAGGTTTCCATGGGGCCTCCATTATTCTGACTCAGCGTAGAGGTTTTGATAGAATGAGATGATTTCCATCTTGATATCTGCAAGATTTCTGATAGGTTCACCTTCAACTTCTAACATGTCAATGTTGTTGTTCCTATTATGAGCATTGGCAGTTCTATGGAAGAACTTGGTATTGTTATCTCATTGTTTTAACCAAAGAGCTCTTGATCTCTGTCTCCATGCGACTTCTTCTTTTCTTGCGATCTCCTCAAATTCCACTGTTAATGTTGCTTTTGAGAGTATTTCATCTTCATTTGTATTCCTGAGGTCCTGAATCTCATCCAATTAACTTAATTGAGAGAGAATATTAAGCTTCTACATTTCTAGATTTCCCTGAATAGTTTTGCTCCATTCTCTGAGTTTTCCTTTCAGAGCCTTCAATTTGAAAGCTAGAGTATAGTCAGGTCTTCCTTCACAATTGAAAGAGTCCCACCATTCTTTGACTCTCTCTTTGAAACCCTCTGTCTGCAGCCACCAATTTTCTAATTTGAAATTGGATTTGATAGGCTCCCAATTTCTACATTGAAGTAACAGAGGCGTGTGATCAGAAGTCACTCTATGCAAGGTTGATTGTTTGATACTCCTGAAGTCCTCATCCCCGTCTTCAGAAATAAGAAATCTATCTAGTCTAGATGCAATGTCATGTCTGTCTCTTTTCCTCCCAGTGAACTTACTTCCTAGTAGTTATAGATCTACCAACTCCATATCCTCGATGAATTCAGAGAAATCAATCATCGATCTGGAGATTCTGTTACAGTTTTTATTCTCGGAAGGAAATCTAACTTTATTAAAGTCCCCACATACCACCCAGGGACCCGAGAACAAGCCTCTTGTTATACCAATTTTCCACCAAACTTCTTCTCTCTCTGCCATGTCGTTAGGAGCATAATTACTTGTTAACTACCAAGATAAGTCCTGTGTTTTTCCAGTGAACTTACATGTGACAGAGTAGGAAGCCAAGTTGGTTATTTCACCTTCCCATACCTTACTGTCTCACATCAGTAAAATGCCTCCCCTAGTACCGCTAGCATCTAGTTGTGCAAATGTTCACCATCTATTGGCCCATAATTCTCTCATAACTCTTGTGATATCTTCTTCAATTAAGCAGTAGACATCTGCTTTTCAAGTGTTAATGCAGCTATTGATTAGTCTCCTCTTCCTTGCCTTGTTCAATCCCCTCACATTCCATGATACAATGTTGACTATCATTGATCTTGATTGATGTGGTAGTCCCCTCTACTTCTGGTACCATTGCTTTTGAAATTGCTCCCGATGTCCAGGTTCTTCAGTTCTTTAGAACCCTTAGTTTTAGGAGTTATTGTCCCTATTGTTCCTGCAATACCCATATGTGTTTGTCTTTTTGATCAATCTTTATGAAAAGCTGTAAAGTCTCTTTTTCACAACCTTGGAAATCAACCCCAAATTCTTTGCCAAGTTTGATGATGTTTTGGTGCACCCAGATAGGTGTATCAAAAGTCAGGGTCCTTCTTAGGCTCTTGGGTGTGTGAATTCAAGGATTCAACCTCTTCAATGGCCCACTCAGTAGTTTCCTCCCCTTATGTGTTTTTCAAGGGTTGGAAACCTAGTGGAGAGCATTCTGGTTCTTCCGCAATGATCATGGCACTTTCCTTGTCAACTGGGTCTAGTTGGGCTTCTTATTTTCCTTCTTCTTCCTCTAATGTTGCCCTTTCTTCGATCAGGTTTGACTCTGGTTCGATGTTTGCAGCATGCAAAATATTAGGAGGCAGAGAGATTGCTGATATTTCTTCAATTAGTGGGTCTGGTCTGTATTTACTAGAGTGTTCCAAATTGGGCTTGTCTTCTGAAATGACCTATGCCATGATATCTGGGCCCAAAGATTGCTTATTATGTAACATGGACCTTATTTGTATCGGGTCATTTAACTTAAATGCCCCCTCACACAGTCACGTGTATCTTCAAAAAATCTAGGCTGTAAGGCTTTTGAGCAACCCACGTGCCCCATCCCATCTCCATATTCTTGAGCCCCTCCCACTGCCAACATAGAGTCTACGATTACCCGCTGGTCCATGACCTTCATCTCTCTTCCTTCACCGGAGGAAAATCTTACCGGCGACTCACACCAGACTTGGATCGTGTAAGTAATTCCTTCATTTTCAATGATTACTGCCCTCGGGATAAAATCCCCATCTCCTCTCACCTTCAATCTGGCCCATTTCAGGTGATTTTTGAGTTCCGTTTCTTCCTCTGTTTGAACTCAACCTCCACAGTGATCTCCAACCTCTTTGAAGACTTTCTGGGACCAGAGATGAAGTGGGAGTCTAACAAGTCTTATCCAAAAATGTTCTATCTTCTCAATTTTTGATATAGATCCCACTGTCGGCGACCACCATTGAAGATGAAACTTATGAAACTTCCAGCTCCAGTTCCCCTTTAGCATATGTGCAGCAGTTGTTTTCGAGGAAAACTCAAACAGAAAGTGATTTTGGAACATCTCATAGATGTTTACCCCATGAGCTTGCTTCCAAGTGCTGCTGGCCCACCGCCGGATCTCCGAGAGGGTAGGGGATGTCAGAAATCCCAACTGGAAGGCTACCCACCACACTCCTGGAAAGGAGTTCATTTTGGACAATGCTGATTCCTCTAGAGATTTTGATGATACCCTCTTTTTAATGCACAGAGGCCTTTTTCATTTCTCTGGTTGTCCATTTGTTTCTTCTAATTGTGTCTGAATGAAGGAGTCCTTCCTCTGTATTCCTAGGGACAATTGTAACTGCCCTTTGGGCTCTGCCATTAATGAATCTTGATATTTTAAGTGCAATGTCCAACCACCCTGTATTAAATGCCAATTCAAGTATAATAATAACAGATCTCCTTCTCTTTTGCATGTTTATAATACTTATGTAGCGACCATATTTGTTGAAGTTTCTCGAGCAGAAGAACTCAGAGAAGTGGTCTTGGGACTTCCATCTTCTCACTGAATTACCCCTCCCTTTCGAAGCTTCTGTTAGTGCATAGCATAACCATTCCATCATCTTCTGGCTGAAGAAAGTCCTCATGAACACGTTATAACCTCGTTCTGTCCAGTTATACCATGTCTCTACTCTAGTTTCCTCCCTGATTATGTCGTATGATCTGGAACCTACAGTAAAGTAAATTGCATTGTCATCCATTTCCACTGATATGTTAATTCCGATCAAAAGACTACTGCTTGTGTTAATTTAGTAACTTAATTTTTATTGAAACTGCTTTTTTTTCTTCTCTGTGGCATACTTCTGCAAGTGCTAATGCTCACATTCCCTGGTTCTAGCATCCCTGCTTTCCTGTGAAATCTAGCTGTCTATTTGTCTCCCCTCATGCTACATCTATTACAAAATTGTTGTTTGTGATTGAATTTTCTCCTTGTGGGTAATAATAAGTTTTATTTCATCAGGTCCAGGCTAGGCTAGATGCTGAAAGAGTTGAAAAGGAAAAAGTCGTAGCTCTGGAAGCTGAGAGGAAAGCAGCAAAAGAAGCTGCAGCTGCTGCGGAGAAGAAGGCATCTGAGTCATTGATGAATGTTCCTTCGGAGGCTAACAAGGTTCCAAAGGAAGTCACTAATCATAAACATTCAGCAGGTATGTCTCACTGTGTAATCTTAGTTAGGGAGTGAAAATGGAGATTTGACCTTCCTCCTACTCCTCTTTTTCTTTTTATATTCTAGGCATTTCATTTCAAATAAATAATAACTTAAAATAAAATTCTCTGTGCATGTCCCTTCGGGGACATCCGATAAAATTAGAACGACACAGATAAGATTAGCATTATGGCCCCTGTGCAAGGATTACACGCATATCGAGAAATGGTCATGCCTTTTAAACTACCTTACCTTATCAAAAAATGCTCTGTGCATCATAATCTAAGAGAAAAAATCCTAAAAGGAATATATGCCCTAAAGGTAGATTTGTTTTGATCCCTTATATTTAAAGTTGGACATAAACAGTCCTGTATCTTTGTAAAAAGTTATCCCTTTTGATCTAGCGCTAGATTGCAGGCTATTCACTGACGCAAAAGATAACGATATTTAAAAGCTGGGAACTAGGCCTTTGGAAAAGAGACTAACTCTGAAAATAAAACTCTCTCCAAGAAATATTCCTGGAAAATATACTAATGAAAATATTCTTACCTGGGATTAGCCGGGTCAACTGTTCAGAACCATGCTTTTGACAGCATTCATTAGGGGGATGTGGGGTGGTAACAAAATATAGTGGTTTTAGAGGCGTACGTGGGGAATGGAGTCTTGAGAACTACCTAAATGTTAAGCGGGTGACTGATCAATATATATGTGTCTGACGAACCATTGGCTTTTTACAAGTCACCTTCAAAGTTGCGAAACTTCTTTGGGGCCAAGGACCATGCAATTGCGGTGTACCAGTTTATGAGAACCAATGCCGATGAAGTGCATGATGAAGCAGAGAGAAAACTTGATTTGATGTAGAACTACTGTTGTTGCTATTGTTCGTCAGCAAGTCTAATAAATCAGTTCGAAGGGAGAAACATGGATATCATTTCACTGGTGTTGCCTTTCTCATCTGTTATTTTATCTTTCAGAGCAAAATGTCAGTCTTTATTCTGAACAATAGACTGAATAATAGCCTGTTTGGCCAAACTTCTTTTGGGCCAAAAATGTTTTTTTGGGGCCAAAAGTGTTTTTTCCCAAAGTTAAGGTATTTGACCAAACTTTTAGAAGGAACACAAATGCTTTTGAGCAGAAGCAGTTTTTGAGAAGCAGAAAAAAGTCGCTTCTCCTCATTAGCACTTTTTTGAAAAGCACTTTTGAGAAAAATACACTTAGAAGATGAATTTCCCTAAGTTTTTAGGTTGAGTAAAGCATAAAGGTATCCAAAAAAAGAGAATATTCTTACTAGTAACCCGATCACTTGACTAGTAAATATGTTCATGTCTTCATCTTTATGCAAAATATATCTGTGATTCTGTTCACGGTCTTCTTTCTTCAAACAAAAGCTATCTGTCAATGTCATCACCAGGCTCCCACAAACTCCTTTCTTGGAAATTTACCTCCTACTAGTTTTTCTCGTTTGTACCGTTCAAATATCCAAGAATCTAAATGCCAAAGAGAGAGAGAGAGAGAGAGGTGGG